TTTCCCTGCAGCCCAAGTCTTACCCACCCCGCCTTTCACCACCGGGCTCAAGCCTTGCTCACAAGCCTACGGCATCCCTCCCTTGAGCTCCTGAGGATAATCGGTCTTCTCTTACTCACACTTGTCTCCCCCCTGCCTGAATTGCTGCCACTTAAAATACTCCTTGGTCTCTGGATATCTGTCTTCTTTACTGTACTAGAAGTTCCTTGAAGAAAAGACCCAGGACTTGTGTATTTCATTACTCCATGAGTAGTACCTTGGCGCAGAAGAGGGTTTCAAAGAATATTGACGAACCTGATGTCCATCTGTCTTTTTTACTGTACTAGAAGTTCCTTGAAGAGAAGAAAAGACCCAGGACTTGTGTATTTCATTACTCCATGAGTAGTACCTTGGCGCAGAGGAGGGTTTCAAAGAATATTGACGAACCTGATGTCCTATTTCAGCCACGGTCCACACACACACAAGAAATGTCAACCAAATGTGGAGATCAGTAGCCAAATGGGGCCGCTAGTACTTGAAATGTGCTACAAGACACATGACAGATTTGGAAGGCTTTGAAAAAACAAAAACAAAAACAAAACCGACACTTACCAATAACTTAAGGTTCACGACATGTTGTAATAATATTTTGGACACACTGGGCTAAGTAAAACATGGCACAAGTAATCTAACCTGTTTTATAACTTTGATGTGGTTACCAGAAAATGTGAAATTTCCTATGTGGTTCTCTTTATGATCCCAGTGGACGAGCAGAGTGGAAAACTGCCATCGTGACCGTTATTCAGACAGACCAAATTCTCTGAGCACTTGTTTGCACGAGGCTCTTCATTGGGCATCTTTAAAAAAAAAAAAAAGCCCTCTGGGGGACATTTCCACACCCCCCAGGCTGCAGCGTCTTTACCCTGACAGTCAAAATGATGAGCCTGTAGGCTGGCCCTGGTGGCCACACCGCAAAGGCCTGTGGTCCCAAGCGCTTCTGCGCGAGTTTAATCCCTCTGCTCGCGGACGAGATGGTAAGAGAGAGAAAAGGCGGCCGGCTGCCGGGGTGCGGGGGCTGAGATGCTGCCAAAGCGATCACCCCTGCGCTGCTCCCCGCCCTGTTGCCCGTGAGGCCGCAGTGCACGGGTAGGCAGGAGCCGATGCAAGGTGCGCGCACGTTCCGGAGCGCACCGGGTCTGCTCGCCCAGCCGGGCCAGTGCGCGCACCTGTGTTGCCATAGCAACAACGTCCCCTCCTCCCTCAGCACACTCAGAGCGGACCCCCTCCCTGACCCCCGCACTCGGTCCCTCACCTCTCCCAGCCGCACCCTGCAGCTCCAAGGGTCAATCCATCTGCACCTCGTGACGCTGTCCCGCCCCGCGCACGTCCCCCTGTCCCCGCCCAGCCTCCACCCCGACCCCACCCGGCCCCCGGACCGGGGTCGCAAGCCGGGCTCACCCACCTAGCTCCTCGCAGCGTCCACCGCTCAAGCTCTGACAGGCCCCGCCCCGTCCAGCTCCGCCCTCCGCGGCGCCCGGCTCGGCTCGCCTGCTGATTGGCGACCGAGGCCTGTAGGCAGCTGATTGGGCAATGCTGAGCCGGTCCTCCCTCTAACTGAGCGCCGTCCGCGGCTCACCCTGTTGGCCAGTGTGCAGGCTCCGGTTTTCTCTGATTGGTCCAGCTTTGTGTCTCCGATAACTGATTGGAGGTTTGGGATAGCCAGTCGTCCAGTCACAAAGGGCCTGGCAGCAGCTGCTGCCACCTGCATAATTGCCAATTGCGACTCCGACTCAGAGGGGATGCTGGAAAGCGTGTGTTGGCAGGTGGTGGACAGAGGACGTGATTTCCAGGCAGATTTATCTAAGAGTGCATCATACGTAACAAGTCATGAACATTAATAACTACCTTCCGTTAGATACGCACATTACATGCATGTGCGTGGCACCGGGTAGAGTAACCCTGAGCGGCTGTGTGCTTCTCATCCAGAAGGCTGGACGCGAATGCAGGGAGCCTTCTTCCACCCTGGCTGACCTCCACCTGCTTGACCTTGGGCGAGGCTCTTTAGTTTGCAGAATTTATTCCCAGATCGGCAAATGAAGCGGTTGGGCAAGTCTCACTACACTGCTTTGGCGCTCTAGTGACTATTTTGAATGGTTCATGTCATTGTGATCCAGAAAAGCGTGGAGTGGAGATCAGAGACAAGGTTCAACTTCAGTTAAACTAAAACTTAGTCATGAAGTGAGATGAAAAATGGAAAGCGCGTGCTTGAAGTCTGCACAAGGTAGACGCTGGATAAAATGGTAAGGGGCGATGATGATGGTAATAATGTCCTCGGGTGACAGGGAACCGCCCTCCTGGGCTTCAGTTTCCACTTTGAGAAAATGGAGCGCCGTGGCAGCTGCTTCATCCACAGGACTGTGCTGGAAGGTGTTATCGACTTTTGCCATGTGTGCTGGGTTTAAATCCTGCTCCAGCATGCACCACCTGTGTGACTTTGAAAAGGGGCCTTAGCTTGTCTGAGCTATAGACCGTCACTTCTCACAGAAGGACACCAAGAGCACCCACTTCATAGAGTTGTGAAGAGTTAGAAAAGTATTAACATTTGCTATTACCTAAGAAAAGGCACAAGAGGCCAGCAGGCAGCGTGGTGGTTAAGGCTCTGGGCTTCCATGTAGAGAACTGCAGTTCGAATCCTGGACCTCAGACTTTAAAAAACAAACAAACAAACAAAAAACAGCACAAGATCCAATAACTCAAGGTTACTGGAGTACAGAAATGCCATTGCTGCTATGGGTGTTTCTCATTCCGTCTTCGATTAGTATTGTATTTACTGGGAGCCTCCCATGTCTCAAGCCCTGAGCTGGGTGCTGGGGACGCTGCAGTGACTTCCCCACAAGCATTGTCCCTGTGGTCACATCTAGCTGGGAAGACCAATAAGAATCAGGTAATGACAACGCAGTGTGGTGAGCAAGGAGCCCAGGGCTGGGAGGAATGCTGGCCGAGGGGGCTGACCTTCTGAGGTCAGGGGAGTCGTTGGAAACCCAAACCTGAAAGTGAGTGTGGGTTCCCCAAATGAAGGGGTGTGCCGACAGAAAGAAGAGTCCACATAGAAGGCTCTTGGGGCAAGGAGGCGTGCGGGGAACTGCAATGAGGCAGGCAGAGGAGCAGCCGTGTGAGCCTCGCGGTCTTGCTGGCATCTGTAATGCTCCGTGGGCCGCGCACTGTCCGTCCATTCCACAGACTCACGGTCAGCCCGCTGTGTGCCAGGCGCTGTGCCAGCTGCAGATTACAGGACACAGTGGACAACAGGCCACGGTCCCTGCCCGAGCCAAGGAGACGGAGCGTAATCGACAACCACAGTAAGCGTGTGGTGGTTTAGAAGGGATGAGAAAGAGCTGGAAGGGAGAAGGGGGACAGTCATGGACCAGAGGGCAAGAGACAGTGTTTTAAAGGGTAGTGAGAGGAAACCATATTGAGAAGACACGGAGGGGGTAGCTGCAGGGATACTTGGGGAAGAGCATTTCCCTAAGGGGACTAGGTGGGGCCAGGGCACACTTGGCAGGTCCCAAGAACAGTGAGGATGACAGGCTGTCAAGAGCTCCACTGAGATTGTGGGAGGGGCCTGATGGAAAATATGCTGAGGATTCTGCTTATGGTGGTTGTGAGGTGACGGGCCAGCGGAAGGTGTGAACAACCGTGTGACACACTGATATATCCACCTGGGGGCTGGGAAGGGACGGAAAGGTAGAAGGAAGCCATTGCAGTAACCCAGGTGAGATGGTGGGCCAGGGACCACGGTGTGGCCCTGACCAGGTGAGGAGGAGTCAGGTTCTGTCTGTAGTCAGAGGAGGAGCCGGCTGGATTTGCAGGTGGATGGGATGTGGGCGGACTGGAGAGAAGTGGGGGCTGCTGAGCTCAGTATCTGGAAGGGCGGCTGACCCAAGGGTGTGGGTGGGCGGGGCATGACGGCCAGTGCTCTAAGATGCTGCATTCCCCAGGCTGGGGCCACATGGGAGACCCAGGTCTGAGTCTCAGTCCCATCTAGGGCTGCTCACCTGTAATTCCAGAGACTCCAGAGGCTGGGCTGGGGATCTGTGAGCTCCGAGGTGGCCTGAGGAACGAGGCGAGAGGAGGATGCAGATGAACTGGATCCTCGCTGTTACTCTAAGGCATGTGACCTAACATTATGGCCCCCTTTCTGAGGGGAACCACAAGGAGTGCTCACGTCCCTTGCCCAAGGTCAGACAACGGAGCTGGAATTCAGGCGCCCAGGGAGCTCTGAGCAGTTCACTTCAGAATCCACACCTCGTACCTCTCACGAGCCCAGGAGCCCACTGAAGAAATGTGGAACCGCCGTGACATGATTTCAGAAGGGCCATGGGTGCCAAGCTGGGGCTGGGAGGTCACTTAGACCGTGGCAGCAGTCCCAATCCATGGGAGAGATACTAGTGACAGGAACCTGGACGGGAGGACGGGTGGGGAGAAGGGGACAAATTCTGGAGAGGTTCAGCTGGAGGTGGGTGACGGGTGGGGACTACCTGAATGTGAGAGTAGGCGGTGACTCAGAGCCGTCCTGGGCTTTCGATGCGGGTGTGGCGTGGGTAAGATCAAAGTGGCATCTGCTGTGATGGGGTCACTGGATCAAATAGCACAAATGGGGAACTAATATTTTCAAGCTTGTAAGAGGCTATAGGAAATCATTGACAGATGATTAAGTCTAGATTATGCATAAAACTCTCAAGGGAAAAAATTGCTTAAAGAACCACTAATAAACCATTCAACTGTTTTGCTTTGGTTTTTGGCTTTTTAGGTTTTTGCCATAGGACGCATGTGTTCACCAGAAAGAGGTAGAGAGAGGGAAAGTGAGAAATCACCCCCCCCCGGGGGGATGGTCATGCCACAATCCCTTCTCCTCCATTCTCCTCTTGTGATCTTGGGCACGCACGCACACACCCCCTCACTGAGTAAAAAAATTTGGCTAGGTCGGAGTCCAGTCCCTTCACCACCACACCACCTGCTGGCCCCACCATTCCAGTGATTTTTAAAATGATTTCTTCCATGGGGGGACCAGTAGATGGCATAATGGTTACATCGCTGGACGCCCATGTAGTCGACCCGGAGGCTTGAAACTCACACCGGACATGTGTACCTGTGTGCCCGAGATCCCAAAAGGAGAATGGAGGAGACATTGCCATGTGGCTATCCTCCCAGGGCATGATTGCTTGCTTTCTGTCTCTAGGGTAGTGCACATGCCCTATAGCAAAAATCTCTCATAAAAAAAGAAATATGTATATGTGTGTGTGTGTGTGTGTGTGTGTGCATATATATATATATATATATATATCTGTGTGTATATGTATGTGTGTGTATGTGTATATATATATATATATACATATACATATATATATATCTTCTATGAGAAAGAGACAGATAGATAAAGAGACAGCACTTCCAACAGGGTCCTGATGCTGCCATCCACCCCCAGCCTCACCCAGCCTGGGATCACGGGTCTCCAGGCATGACCTGGACCCTTCTCATGGGAGTCAGCCCTCCAGAGCATTACGTTTTTCCACTGTGGACCATCCAGCTCCCCCTACTTCCATTCCTATGTTTAACAGCTCTCACTGCTGAGAAATCGTTCTACCATAAAAAGCCAATCCATGAACCGGATCCACTGGGCATGATTTATTGGTTTATTTATATTTTTGCTTTTGATCTGAGCTCAGTGAGGCCCTGCAGGCTCTGGAGCAGACCCTCTCTGGCTTTGACGTGTCCTCCTCACCCTGCACCTGGCTCATGCACATCTTATCTGCAGACATTCTCCCTCCGTCGAGGCCCAGATGTATGCTTCCTCCTCCACCATGTCTGCCTCCAGCCCGGTGCCCTGGGTAAAGTAACTGCTCCCTCCCTTGTGACAGGTAGTGTCTCGCATGTAACTACAGAGTCCTGACACTCTTCATGCATTCGGGATGCGTCTGGTCACCTTCACTGGATCATGACTGTTTTTCTAATTCCCCTTTTTAAAAAGTTTATTTATTGGGACCAGCAGATGGTGTAGTGGTTATGTCACTGGACCACATGGCCGACCACAATTCAAATCCTAGATCCAGAGGCTTGAAATTCATGGTGGGTGCATGTGTGTGTGTGCCCAAAATCCTGGCAAGAGAATGGAGGAGAAGGGATTGCAGTGTGGCCATCCCTAAGGGAGTGATTTCTTGCTTTCTATCTCTTGTATCTCTCTGGTGAGCACACACACCCTACAGCAAAAATCTCTCTTAAAAATAGTAATTAAAAAAAGGTTTATTTATTTATTTCATGACTGAAAAGAGGGAGACACCCTGATTAGGTATTGCCACACACCACGGCCCTCCCCCAGCCTGGATCATGGGCTACCCCTGTGTGGGGCCAGCATGTTCAGAAGGATCAGGATCTGAGCCTGGGATCTCTCGTATGGTTTCCACATCACACAGAGACACTCTACCACCCATGTCACCACAACTGGTGCTGGGTTGTCACCCTTTGAGAACCACAGTGTGTCACACAATGTCTTCTATCAGGAGCCTTCCAAAAGTTCATGGAGGATGCATATTATGAAAAAATTATGCAT